TTTCGATGCTTACGGTGGTGTCCATGGATCAACAGCAGCAGCAGCAACGGGAGCGTGCTGGAAATGCAGATCCCCGGGCCCCACCTCCGTCCTGCTGAGTCACAATCTCCCCTGTACCAGGATCTCCAGGAGAACCGAGTGCACGTGGGTCTTGAGTCAGCTGGGGCTGCCATGACGAAATAGCACAGACTGTGTGGCTTAAACCGTAGACTTTTGTTGCTCACAGTTCTGGAGGCTGGGAAGTCTAAGATGAAGGGGTCCGCCTATTCGGCTCCCCTGTGAGGGCTCTCTTCCTGGCTTGCAGAGGGCTGGCTGCCTTCTCACGGTGCCTTCATAGGGTGGAGAAAGAACCAGCTCTGGTTTCTCTTCCTCTGCTTTTCAGGACACTAATCCCATCATGGGCCCTCACCCTCATGAGCTCATCTAAACCCAATCACCTCCACAAATCCCCACCTTCAAATACCATCACGTCGGGTGTTAGGACTTCAACATAGAAATTTTGGAGGCACACAAAAGTTTAGTCCATAACGTTAAAGTTGAGCAACACTGCTCTTAATATTAATCCTTCTCCCCTGCGGCCTCCTGGAGCACCTGGACCCCACGGCGGTCCTAACCTAGCAAGACCCAGTGACGCGCAGTCAGCTCAGACTCACAGGAGAACACTGAATTCCAATGCACCCTGCTGCCGGGGGTGCCCATGCTGGTCCTGTCAGGTCCTTGAATCACAAGGGCACTGAGGATGCATTCACTCTCTAGGACACACAGACCCTCCCAGAGGCTCCGACCTCTGTACCTTACACTCAGCACGAGAGCTTGGGCTCACAATGACTCTGTGACCCTCTAAGACACCCAGACCACAGGGACATGGTGAGATTTGGGAAATTCTAACCTTTTAAGGAATTCCTCACCTTACAGAATCTAGACAGTCAAGGGCATCTTGCCTTCCTGCCCATTCAGAGCCCCCAATTTGCTTGAATCTTGCAAAGGTGATGCTGACACTGAAAAACCACTCAACACGCCAACCCCAACCCAGGAAATACCCTGACCACATTAGCCTGATCCACGGGACATTTTGACAAAGTAAAGACATATCCTGGTCTCCCAAAGCACTCTGACCATCCAACATGCCTTTGACACATGGGATGTCTTAATGCCAAGGCTCTCCAACCTTCCAGTGTACTCTGGCTGTCTCAGCCCTAGACTTGTCAGTAGGCACCCTAGTCGCAGTCACTTTCCCCCTCTCCTAACACACAGACAGCCCAGCACAGCTTCGACACATTAGGGCCCCCTGAATCCAAAAGGCGATTATTCTAACCCTTGAGAGATTCTGTCCTCTCAAGGCAACTATTTCCTGCAAGACACTCTGTAGAATACATCCCCAGAACTGCCGGAACATCTTCACTTCTGCCACACTCTCACCCCTGCCTAGCATGTTCTGCTCATCCAGGACCCTCTGATTTCCTGAAAATGCTTTGATTGTACAAGAATACCTTGGTATTCTACTCCATGACAGGTCCATTCAAGTCTACCCAAACCTTCGAGGACCACCAGAGATCCAGAAAACCTTGATTTCCTGCATTCAAATACCAAAAGGATATGCTGACCTACCTGAAAACCTTCACAGCTCTGGACTCCCAGGACATCCAGGAGTCTCTGAATCACAGAGCCAGACCCACCTGCAAAACATCTTAACTCCATGCAAGCGGTGTGATCTTCCAGGACAGTCTGACCTCAAAGCTGGTGATGTTGCAAGGATACTTCAAGTGTTCTGACATGATGAAAATTCCTGTAGGCCCAGAACAGCTGCCTCCCCTGACGCCCTCTCTCTCCAATACCCCTGCCTTCCCAAGATGTTCTAAGTCTCCCAGACTCTCTTTCACTGTTAAGATCTCATCTGATCCTATAAGGTCTCTTTGGATCCTCTAAACACTCCATTCCCCAGGGTCCTCTGACCTTTTAAAATCCTACAAGATGCCGGGCACAGTGGCTCATGCCTGTAATCCCAGTACTTTGGGAGGCTGACGCAGGCAGAAAACTTGAGGTCAGGAGTTCAAGACTAGCCTGGCCAACATGGTGAAACCGTGTCTCCACTAAAAATACAAAAAAATTAGCCAGGCATGGTGGCACATGCCTGTAGTCCCAACTACTCAGGAGGCTGAGGCTGGAGAATCACTTGAACCTGGGAGGCGGAGATTGCAGTGAGCCGAGATCATGCCACTGCATTCCAGTCTGGGCGACAGAGCGATAACTCTGTCAAAAAAAAAAAGAAGTCCTACAAGACACTTGGAACCTACATGGGCCTGCTTATCATCCAGAGACAAGGCAAACCCACAGGACACTACGCTGACCGTACAAGGACCCCCTGAGTCTCCAGCGGATCAGGTCTCTATGACGACACACTGATTCCCCTGATTACTATAAACCATAGCTTACTCTGAGCATATGAACACCCTACCTTCTAGAGTGTTTGACCCTAGATGATTATGTGCGTGTGTGTGTATATATATACACACATACATATATGTATACACTTTTTTTGAGACAGGGTCTTGCCCTGTCATCCCGGCTGGAGTGCAGTTGTGATCGTAACACACTGCCGTGTCAAACTCCTGGGCTTGAGCGATTCTCCTGCCTCAGCCTCCTGAATGGCCAGGACTACAGGTGTGCACCACCATATCCAGCTAGTGTTTGCATGTTTTTGTACAGACGCAGTCTCACTACAATGCCCAGAGGAATATCTTACTGTACCAAGTCACTGTGATTCCTAGAGCATTTTAGCCATCCAAAG